AGGGAGACGGAGACTTTTTAGGGGAAGATCGGAAAGCTTCGGGTGTGCAGAGCCGTCGCGGAACGTGTGCAGAAAGCTGCCTGTGAGGGCCGAGCGCTCCGTTTCGATGTTCGTAACAAGAATTTTCTGGGAATGTGCACTCCCATCAGGGGAGTCCGTCGTCTGTGCTAAGCTTTTTCTTAATCCTTTTCTAGTTAACCACGCTTACGGCTAGTTTTTTTTTTTTTTTAAGCAGTAAGGTGTTTTTGTCTGGCCTTTTGTTGGCTAAGACGACGTTGACTTTTTAAAGTAATTTTGGGCCTTTCACTTGTTTAGTAATTATCTAGAAAACTGTTTTGCATTCAACTCCATAATGCACTTGAACTTTTAACTTGAGCACACTTACTCCCTTAAGCTTTTAACTCAGTTCAGTTTTGTGCGTCTTGGGCATACCAAGGGAGGCTTTGGTGGGTTTGTACTGTTGTGGGAAACGTACGTTTACATTTTTAAAGCTTAACTATAATCTAGATTAGTTTTGGGTGGATCTTATTACTAACAGTCTAGATTAATTCCCAAGTTGGTATGGGGATGGCATTATAAGTATCTCCCTAGATAGCTGTTTACTTGGTTGCCAGGGAGGAGAGAACAGGTGTCAATGTTTAGTTTCATCAGCCTTTTATTTTGATGCTCAGAAATGGCTAAGAAACATGTTGAGATTTACTAGTCGGGCGAAAGAACGATGTACAGAAAGAACTATAAAGTAAGTTGTAGAATGTACTGCTCCAGTTTTAATTCTGCTCACTTAAGAAAGACTTGAAGGAGGAAGTAAAGGACTTGGGACATTAACAGCTGGCTTTAGCCCAGAGGGTCTTTAGATTCTTTTCCAGGGTTCCTCAAGGCCAGAGCTTTTCATGGTGATGCTAGGACGTTATTTGTCCTTTTCACCCCGATTCTTCCATGAGTGTTGAGTGGAGTTTTCTAAAGACTGACATGACCGATATCACGACAGATTAAAATGTGGAAGCAGATGTGAAAATCCAGCTCCTTTCTATTCAGCCAGACATTAAAGAGATTTGAAAAATGTTGAACAGTGCCACTCTTCTCACTAGTTCTGTTTTGAAAACTATTTTTTAAAATTGATTTGAGAGAGAGAAGAGAAGGGGGGAGGAGAGAGAGAGAGAGAGAGAGAGAGAGAGAAAAGCATTGATTTGTTGTTCCACTTAAGCATTCATTGGTTGCTTCTTGTATGTGCCCTGACCAGGCATGGAACCCAAAACCTTGGTGTATTGGGACGATGCTCTAACCAACAGCTTTGTGGCCAGGGCCTTGAAAACTGTTTTACTAAAAAGTTTTGCTAATATATGATGGGCTTATTGTTCTTTTAAAATGAATTAATATTTAAAGCATTTGTTAGTTTCAATGCCTAGTACTGTGAACCGTAATAGGTGTAATCTGACAAAAGTTTTATGGGGTTCTAAATAATTTTTAAGAGCATAAAAATCCTGAGACCAAAAAGTTTGAGAACGTTTTTCTAGTCAGATAGACCAGTATCATTGTTAATAATTGGGACCCAGTACAGTTTCATGTTGGGTGCTGTACAGTTTCATGTTTAGGGAGGACGCTAAGGATTTAGGGAGGTCGGAAGCTGAACAGTATCCTTAAGAGGCTTATAAGAGGAAGTAAGAATCCCAAGTTACTACTGGGCAATATCAGTAGCATGAGACTGAACCATAGTCTCCGAAAGACAATCTTTCTTTAAAGGAAGTTTTATTAGAACGATGTATTTTTTTCAGGCACCTCTCAGGAGGTTATTGTCTGGGGCTAAGATACTGAAATTGAGTAATAATTTCAGGTTAAATTAGGTAGACATTAAATTCACACAGGACTTAAATTTCTGGGTTCTCCATTAATTAATGAAATATGAATATTTTTGGAATTTGAGTGGAACACTTGATTATAATTTTTAAGAATTCCAGCATTATCCAGTGGATTTAAAAAATATATATATTTTATTGATTTTTAGAGAGGAGGGGAGAGGGAGAGAGAGAGATAGAAACATCAGTGATGAGAGAGAATCATTGATTGGCTGCCTCCTGCACACCCCCTACTGGGGATGGAGCCCGCAACCCAGGTATGTGCCTTTGACCGGAATCGAACCCGGGGCGCTTCAGTCCGAAGGCTGATGCTCTATCCATTGAGCCAGACCAGCCAGGGCTTCAGTGAATTTTTGGATCATTATTGAATAATCCTCTAAAACAGGTTTTAAACCTAAGGTTCATGGACCCTAAAGGCTGAAAATCCAGGGAAATTGTATGGAATGTTTTGTGAGTATTCGTGCATGTGTGTATTTATAGTGAGAAAGAGCCCATAGTTTTCATCAGGAGTACATGATTCCTCAAAAAGTTTAAGAACTAGCCTGTAACAAATAACAGATCTGATTGGGTACTCTCCTTTAGCCCAATCACCTTGCAGCAATATTAATAAGCACTTATATAGAATCAGAGCTTATTATCAAACCAGTAAGGGTAATTTGTACAAATATTTTCCTTCCCTGTATTCAAGTTTATAGTGTTTCTTTTCTATACCAAAACCATCAATGGCAGTGTGTACTTTATTTAGCTCTTCAGTTCAGGTCTGTTAATCCTATATAATAAAAGGCTAATATGCAAATCAACCAAAAGGCAGAACACCTGGTCACTATAATGTGCACTGACCACCAGGGGGCAGACGCTCAATGCAGGAGCTGCCCCCTGGTGGTCACTCAGCTAGAAGCCAGGCTCATGGCTGGTGAGCGCAGCGGCAGGAGCTTCTCTTGCCTCCACAGCAGCGCTAAGGACCCCCCTTGGGGGATGTCCAACTGCCTGCTTAGGCCCGCTCCCTGAGGGGACATCCCCTGAGGGGTTCTGGGCTGTGAGAGGGTGCAGGCCAGGCTGAGGAACACCCATCCCTTCCCCCAGTGCATGAATGTCGTGCACTGGGCCTCTAGTTTATAATAATTTGATGACTGATTTGCTTCAAATCCTAACTGAATCTGTTATAACAAGGTTCACTTTTCCCATCCCCACCTTAAGTTGATTGGATTATTTCCTTTTATTGTTAGTCAAGGATTTGGAAGCATTATGTAATTCTGTTTACCTGTTGGTACCTAACAAACTACCTCAAAACTTAGTGGCTTAAAACAGCAGCCTTCTATTTTACTCATAAATCTGCAGTTTGGGCAGGACTCTGTAAGTTGGACTCATCACTGCTCTGTGGTGTGTGGGGCCTCTGTTGGGATTACAGTACTCAAGTGGTTGGGTGCTGGCATGGCTGGGCTCTTCATGGAGTCTCAAGGTCTGAGTGGTCTCAGCATGTGTTCTTTTTTAAAAAAAATAATATTGATTTTTACAGAGAGGAAGGGAGAGGGATAGAGAGTTAGAAACATCATGAGTGATTGATTAGAGAGAAACATCAATTCAGCTGCCTCCTGCACACTCTCTACTGGGGATGTGCCCGCAACCAAGGTATATGCCTTTGACCAGAATCAAAGCCGGAACCCTTCTTCAGTCCGCCGGCCAACGCTCTATCCACTGAGCCAAACTGGTTATGGCTCAGCATGTGTTCTTTTCAGCATGGAGACCACAGGATATTCAGACTTATACCATCTCAGGGCCCATAGAGAGAGTGAGTATTCCCAGAGAACCCTGGATGGACACCTCAGGCCTCCTAGGACCTATCCTTGGAAGTCATTTCTGCCTTCTGTTGGTCAGGCAAATCACTAAGGCCAAATTCAAGGGAAAGACATTTATATATTTGTTTACTTACGGAATTATTTTTAATTGGGATGTAATTGACATATATTAGTTTCAGTTGTAAAATATAATGATTCAATAAGTGTGTATATTGTGAAGTGATCACAATAAGTTTAGTTAGCATCCATCACCACACAGTTACAAATTTTTTGTGTGATAACTTTTAAGATCTGCTTTCTTAGCAACTTTTAAATATACATAAATTTAGTATATATTGTGAAGTGATCACAATAAGTTTAGTTAGCATCCATCACCACACAGTTACAAATTTTTTGTGTGATAACTTTTAAGATCTGCTTTCTTAGCAACTTTTAAATATACATACAATTTAGTATTATTAATTGTAGTCACCAAGGGAAAGACAGGTGCTGTTTCTCAATGGGAAGAATAACTAAAGAATTTACAGTCATCTGTAATCCACCACATTAATTGTATTTTTTAAAATATTTTTATTTATTTCAGAGAGGAAGGGAGAGGGAGAGAGAGATAGAAACACCAATGATGGGAGAGGATCATTGATTACTGCCTGCAACCCAGACATGTACTCCAACCAGGAATTGAACTGTGATCTCCTGGTTCATAGGTCAATGGTCGATCTATGAACCACACTGTCCAGGCCCCTGCAGTGTTCTTTATATTTTCCTGTTGATGTTTATTGATTTTACTGTAAGTTTGAGATAGCAGGCAATATGATGAACTGGGTAGGTATTAGAATTCATAATTATGTATACTATTATGAAATAGAATAAATATACTGAACTGTAGCTGTGACTTGAGAGAAATGGTAGTCTGACAGATACATGAAGTGTTGCTAGTGGATATTGCAAGTATATGGGTTATAGCAATATTACAAAGAAAATCTGACCTAAAATATTTCATTGTGTTTTGAAAGCAATATGATTGTTATGGTTAGAGTACTCATAAAGGTACGTTGAATAGTTCCAATTTCAGAGCTATAAAGCAGCCATAAACTTCCCATAGCAGTTAGCTTTTATATAAAGTGTTAACAATTATTTACTTAAGTATCTTTCTCCATTAGACTGTTCACTTTTGAAGGTCAGGAATCAGCCTTTATTCATCCTTTATTTCTGAAATGTCCCGTACAGTGACTGCATACTTAGTAAAAGTTCTTGAAGTGGTCAGATTCATTAATTTAACAAGTTTATATTGAATGCCAATATGTTCAAGGCACCATTCTAGACCCTAGAATTGGAAGGTTGCCTCAAAAACATGAAGCAGCAGGTATGTTCCTCCTCCACTTTCAATTCCCAGGGTGTTTTGTTATTAAGGGTTGGTTGTCATGGAGTGGTTTTCATTTTCTGATGTTTTTACTTCATGATCTTTAATTCTGTTAACAATAGTTATCTGGTAACTTTATCTCCAAGATCAAATCATTTGCTTCTTCCAGAACATTGGGCTTATTATGGATAATTTTCTCTAAGACTGGTATAGTATCTCATTTTGGAATTTACAGAAATTGTGATTTTTTTGGGGGGAGGTAGATAATTCTCTAATATTCTACTTCTTTAAAAAAGTCATGTGGGCCCTGGTGGGATAGCTCAATTGATTGGAGCGTCATCCCCATACACCACAGTTGTGGGTTTGATCCCTGGTTAGGGCACATATAAGAATCAACCATTGAAAGCATAAATAAGTGGAACAGAAATTGATGTTTCTCTCCTTCCCTCCCTCCTTTCTTCCCTCTCTTTATTAAAAAACACACAAATGCCCTAACCAGTTTGGCTCAGTGGATAGAGCGTTGGCCTGTGGACTCAAGGGTCCCAGGTTCGATTCCGGTCAAGGGCATGTACCTTGGTTGCGAGCACATACCCAGTAGGGAGTGTGCAGGAGGCAGCTGATCGATGTTTCTCTCTCATCGATGTTTCTAACTCTCTATCCCTCTCCCTTCCTCTCTGTAAAAAATCAATAAAATATATTTAAAAAAAATAAAAAAAATAAAAATAAAAAACACACAAAAAACCCCCCCAAAAAACCAGTGTCCTAACTACATACTGGTATGCAGATTAGTTTTGCCTGTTTTAATACATTATAACATTACTAGAGGCCCGATACACGAAGATTCGTGCAAGAATGGGCATTCCTTCTCCTAGCTGCCAGCACTGCCTTTGCTCGCCTGGAGCCGCCTTTCCACCTTCGCCTTTCCGCCTTCTTCTGGCCCAGAGCCGCCTTTCTGCCTTCTCACCTTCCCATGCTGCCCAGAGGCTCAGAGCGGCTGGGGCGGTGCAGAGCGCCTGCGTCGTTGCCATGGTGACGACGCAAGTGTCCCACTCCAGCCCCACTGCTCAGCGCCTGTGTATGCAAATTAACCCACCATCTTTGTTGGGTTAATTTGCGTACTCCTGACTGGCTACTCAGTGGGCGTTGCGAAGGTACGGTCAATTTGCATCTTTCTAGTTTATTAGTGTAGATGTAAGTGGAATCATACAATATGTACTTCTGTGTCTGGCTTTTGCTCAGGATTTTTTGGAGATTTGTATGTTGTTAAATCTCATTATTATATTGCATTCTATTTTGTGACTGTACCATGATTTTTTTTTTAAATATATTTTATTGATGTTTTACAGAGAGGAAGGGAGAGGGATAGAGAGCTAGAAACATCGATGAGAGAGAAACATTGATCAGCTGCCTCCTGCACACTCCCTACTGGGTATGTGCCCGCAACCAAGGTACATGCCCTTGACCGGAATCAAACCTGGGACCCTTCAGTCCGCAGGCTGACGCTCTATCCACTGAGCCAAACCGGTTAGGGCATACTGTACCAAGATTTACTTATCATTTTGCTTTTGATGCACATTTGAGGTAGTTTTCTAGGGCCTGTATATATTTTTTAAAGTTTTTTTTAATCCTCACGGGAGCACATTTTTATTGATTTTCTTGTTGTTGTTGTTAGAGAAAGGGGAAGGGGCAGAGAGAGAGAGAGGGAGAGAGAAACATGGATGTGAGAAAAATATCGATCTCTTGCCTCCCACACACCCCCCCCATTGGGGCCAGGGATCGAACCTGCTACCTAGGTATGTGCCTTGACTGGGAATTGAACCTTTCCGTGTACAAGACTACGCTCCTACCAACTGGGCCACTCTGGCCAGGGCTTTAGGACCTATTTTTAACATAAGCCAAATGATATTTATTTACAGCACCTTCTCTGTCAGTTCAAACTGCTTTTGAACTGAATAACAGAAAGTCTGATGTATTAGGTTAAACAAATATGCAGCTTATTTTTCTCATGGAACATAAAGTCTAGACTTAAGTAGTTCAGGACTGGTAAGGCAGTTCCACAATACCTTCATACTCCTTTCTTCTTAATCCTTAACAGATGTTCACACTCATGTTTATCTCCTTGCAGTAGCAAAAAAAGTTATTTTGTATCTTTGTTCCAGGCAAGAGAAAGGGATGGAGAAAGGGAAGGAGTGAAAGGAAAAAATATGTCATATTATATCTCATTGGCCAGCACTGCATCACATGGCCATAAGAGAAGCTGAGAAATATGTTTGTTTTGTTTTTTGTTAATCTTCACCCGGAGATATTTTTCCATAGATTTTTTAGAAAGAGTGGAAGGGAGGGAGGGGGAGAGAGACAGAGAGAGAAACATTCATGTGAGAGAGGCACATTGATTGGTTGCTTCTCACAGGGGATCGAGCCTGCAACTGAGGTAAGTGATCTTGACCGGAATCAAACCCGCCACCCTTCAGTTCGACATTGTCCACTGAACCAAATTGGCTAGGGTGGGAAGTATGTTTTTTAGCTGGCCAGATTTAGGCTTCCCTTTGTAAGGAAGAAGGAGAATGGATATCGGATAGGTAATTAACAAAGTCTGCCATACCTCTAAATCTGTTTGCTAGTACTTTCGGATACACTGAAACAAATTTGTTCCAGGTTTTGCATAGATCCATAGTCTAGGCTCCAAGAGGAGGTTTTACAAAACCAGTTCAGCTATAATTTTTAGTTCCTGAGAAGTTGGCTGTGCATATCTAGCATTTAACCACAGTTCTAGGATTGCATGTAAATTTCCAGAAGATCCAGTATCTTGACAACTTTACTAAACATTGAGGCTATGGAGCTAAATCTGGTCAGTTTCATTGTAAATCTCTAGTACTGTCTCATCAAGTGTGAATATATGGAGCATAAAAATGAAAGTATATATGTATTTTTGTGTTTTTAGAATTGTGATATATCCACTGAAGTATGAGATAAATGACTTTTTCTTTTAACATAACCAGGATACTATTGTCACACCTTGAAAAATGAACAGATCTGTCCTGGCTGGTGTGGCTCAGTTGGTAGAGTGTCATCCCATGCAATGAAAGGTCGCCAGTTCGATTCTTGGTCAGGGCACATACCCAGGTTGTGGGTTAGATCCTAGATCAGTGATGGTGAACCTTTTGAGCTCGGCGTGTCAGCATTTTGAAAAACCCTAACTTAACTCTGGTGCCGTGTCACATATAGAAATTTTTTGATATTTGCAACCATAGTAAAACAAAGATGTATGTTTTTGATATTTATTTTATATATTTAAATGCCATTTAACAAAGAAAAATCAACCAAAAAAATGAGTTTGCGTGACACCTCTGACACGTGTGTCATAGGTTCGCCATCACTGTCCTAGATTGTGGTGTGTGTACTGGAGGCAACTGATCGATGTTTCTCTCTCTCTCTCTTTCTCTTTTCCTTTCTCTAGATTCAGTGAAAACATATTTTTACAAAAGACTTAAAAAAACAAACATCTGTTAATGCCATCAAGTAAGAGTAAATGTATTCTATGTTTTTGGGTTTTCCCCCAAACCACACCTGTTTCAGAAGAATGAACAATCCTTGTACAATTTGAAGGGTCAGGGACAGATTGGGGGTAGTTAAATTTGATGCCCTCTCTCTCCAGTTGATTGAATTGTCAACATTCTAATTGCCAGAATGCTTTTAAGCAGAGTTCTTGTTCTTTTGACTTTGAAATTGCACAATCAAATCCTTCTCATGAATTTTGAACATTTGTAAATGAAGATTGCTGTGTCTTCCATCCTCTCCAGTCTAGTTTTCTTTTCAGATCCTTAGATGTCTTCTATTTCCAAGGTGTTCCATCTATGTATTTTTTAAAATTAAATATATTTTTTATTGATTTTTAGAGAGGAAGGGGGAGGGAGAGAGATAGAAATAGAAACATTAATGATGAGCGAGAATCAATAATTGGCTGCCTCCTGCACCACCCATACTGGGGATTGAGCCCACAAGCCGGGTACATTCCTGGACTGGGAATCGAACCATGACCTCCTGATTCATAGGTTGATGCTCAACCACTGAGCCATGCCAGTCAGGCTCCATCTATGTCTTGGAAAGAAGAGTTGATAGTGGGTAGTGTCTAATAAATTCCTTCATCATTCCAGTTACCATGATTCATTCTGTGGATGGCACATATCTGAAAATGTGGAGGTTTCCAGTTCCTCTCTTTGATCTTGCATATACATTTACTTTTCCTTCCATTACCAGTTTCTTCTGCTCTGGGCTGTGTATTTTTTACAGCCAAACTGACCAGAGCTCTCCAGGATTCTAATTTCTCTGATGACCTAGTGCCCCAGACCCAGTGCTGAATGCTTTCACTGTTTTGTAACTAGTGTGCCATACCATTCTGCACTGGCTGCTTTCTTACAGGGGGGAGAGGGAAAGGCATCATACAATAGACACTGAGATTACTGGAGACAGACTTGGAGTTTTTGTCCAAGATCACCTCATTTTCCAGACTAGTCCATCAAAGGAAAAAAAACACATGAAAAGTTGGAATACAGCATTAGGCAAGCATGGGGCTATTAAGCAAGGGGCACAGGCACATTGTTACCGTGCTTCAGAGTTGGGAAGAGATCACCAAAGTGGAGTGACTAGGGAAATTGGCAGCACACTTTTGGAAATTTCAAATCATAGCATTTACATATTCTTACGAAATTGAAGTGAATTTTCTCTTACCCAATGGTGAATATAAAAAACTGAAAGAATTTTTGTTTGGACTGACTAGTGTGTACAGTAGAAGTATGAAGCATTAGTAAGATTGGTACAGAAAATAGTAATCAGCTTAATTCAACAACATTAAAGAATTGCCTAGCGTTTGCCTGACACTATCCTATATAATAAAAGCCTAATATGCAAATCGACTGAACGGCGGAACAACTGGTCGCTATGACGTGCACTGACCACCAGGGGACAGACACTCAACGCAGGAGCTGCCCCCAGCCCGCAAACCCCAGGCCAGCCAAGGCGGGTGCCAGTGGGGGCCCCCCGATTGCCCAGCCAGTTGCCCCACAGATTGGCCCTGATCTCCAGCCAGGCCTAGGGACCCTACCCATGCAGGAATTTCGTGCACCGGGCCTCTAGTAGAGATTATAAAGATGAAAAAACTTGGATTCTCTCCTTGTAGACTTGTAAGGAAGATAGGACATTCAAAATGGTCACAGAAAACATTAACTTATTTAACAAGCACATTGAATATCTTCAAAGTTCTAGGCACTGTATTTGACTAGAAATATCAAGAAGAGTAAGGCATACCAATAGAATCTGCTGGGAGATACAGATATTTAAATATGTGGTTATAAAGGATAAAAGTAAGTAGTGTGGGAACATTTAGGCAAGTGGGCAGGGACATAATTTTGAAGAAGTGATGCCTGAGTGGTCTTGAAAGGGGAATAGCATAGGAAAGAGCATTCCAAGCAGAGGGAATTAGTATGTACAGAGATAGTGGAGATAAGGTAGAGTGTACCATGTTCAAGAAATTATAGATAGTTCAGTATGGCTAGAGCAAAGGATAGTATTAGCAAGAGAGGAGAATAAGGCTGGATTGCTAGACAGACCATCATTGGAGGGACCAATGTGTGTCAGCTAAGGAGTTTGAATTTAACCCTGAGATTTCTAGGCAGATTGGATTACATTTTAGAGTGATGGCTTTGGTGGTAGTTTGGAGAATTAATTGGAGGGAGCAAGACCGTATGCCTGGTATGCTGTTGCAGTAATGTTAATGGGCAACAATGAGTGCCCGAAGTAAGGCAATGGCTTGGAGAGAATGGGATAGACTTGAGAGCCACTAAGAATTGTCAGAATGATGAATAAGTGTGAGATTTAAGAGAGAATCTCCAAGTTTCTGTTGTGGGCAATTGAATGTATGGTAGTAATTTATTGTAATTGTGAATCCAGAAGGAGTTGTAGAATTTTCCTTTGATTTTGGTTTCAGGAGCTGAAGTTAAAAGTAACAGCAGTGATGTAACCATGGGACATCCAAAGTGGAGCTAGTCAAGCACTTTTATAAATGAGTGAAACTCAGAAAATTATCAGGTTGGAGAGAATGATAACAGTTATTAGTATAGGCACATGTTAGAGATATTGCCAGTTTTGTCCCACACCACTGAAGTAAAATAACTTGTAATCTTTTTGCTGGTGGAAGGTTTTACCTTCAATTTATAAAAAAGAACATCTAGAAAGTGCCATAGGACGAGGTATGCCTGTGTCTTAGAGGTAGTTGGAATCATGGGCCACCCAGGGAGACCAAAAAAAGCAGGGAATTGAAGACACGGAATCCACAGGAGTACCAGCATTTAAGGAAATGGCCAAGAGGAGGAGAGAATGGAATCTTGGAGGCCAAAGGTGGAGAATTTTCAAGGAAGGAAGTCATCAAGGAAGATGTGTTTGTTATGTTAGGGAGTTAAAGATGAGATTTGAAATTATCCATTGTATTTAGCAATAAGGAGTTGAACTAGTAACGTTGGTGAGAGCAATGTCAAGTGGAATGGTGAGGGATAAGCCAGATTACAGTGGGTTGAGAGAGAAAGTAGAGAAAGCAAGTGCTGAATACTCTATTTTTTTTAACATTTTTCTTTACTGTTGAAAATGTTACAGATGTCCCTCCTTTACCCCCATTGAGCCCCTCCATCCAGCTCCCATATCCTCTCCAGGCCTCCCCCATACTATGTCTGTCCATGAGCTCTACATATATGCATATAGGGCAGGGGTGGGCAAACTTTTTGACTCGAGGGCCACAATGGGTTCTTAAACTGGACCGGAGGGCCGGAACAAAAGCATGGATGGAGTGTTTGTGTGAACTAATATAAATTCAAAGTAAACATCATTACATAAAAGGGTACGGTCTTTTTTTTTTTTAGTTTTATTCATTTCAAACGGGCCGGATCCGGCCCGCGGGCCGTAGTTTGCCCAGGGCTGATATAGGGGCATTGGTTAATCTCTTCCCCCAGCCCCCAGCCCTTTTCTTTGAAATAAGTCAGTCTATGGATCTTCATTGTCTCTGGATCTTTTTTGTTCATCAGTTTATTTTATTCATTAGATTCTACATATAAGTGAGATAATGTGATACTTGTCTTTCTCTGACTGACTTATTTCACTTAGCATAATACTCTTCAGCCCCTTCATGCTGTCTCAGAAGGAAAGAGAACCTTCTTTTTTACAGCTGCATAGCATTCCATTGTGTAAATGTACCACAGTGTTTAGTCCATTCATCTACTGATGGGCGGCACTAGGGCTATTTCCAGATCTTAGCTATTGTAAATAACACTGCTAGGAACATAGGGGTGTGTATATTCTTTCTGATCAGTGTTTCTGGCTTCTTAGGATATATTCCTAGAAGTGGGCCAAATAGTTCCATTTTTAATTTTTTTATGTTTTTATTGATTTCAGAGAGGAAGGCAGAGGGAGAGAGAGAGAGAGAAACATCAACGATGGAAGAGAGTCATTGATTGGCTGTCTCCTGCACACCCCACACTGGGGATTGAGCCCACAACCTAGGCATGTGCCCTTGACCAGAAACGAATCTGGAACCCTTCAGTCCACAGGCTGACACTCTGTCCACTGAGCCAAACTGGCTAGGGCCCATTTTTATTTTTATTTATTTATTTTTAAATATATTCTTATTGATTTCAGAGAGGAAGGGAGAGGGAGAGAGAGACAGAGACAGAAACATAAACATCAGTGCTGAGAGAGAATCATTGATTGGCTGCCTCCTGCACACCCCCCAACCCGGGTATGTGCCCTTGACTGGAATCCGCAGGCTAACGCTCTATCCACTTAGCCAAACCAGCCAGGGCTGTTTTTATTTTTTTGAGGAAACTCCACACTTTTCCATAGTGGTTGTACCAGTCTACATTCCAGCAGCAGTGTACTAGGTTCCTTTTCCTCTACATCCTCACCAGCACTTGTTTGTTGATTTATTAATGGTAGCCATTATCATTTTAATTTGCATCTCTCTGATAACGAGGGACGTTGAACATTTTTTTCATGTCTCTTGGCCATCTGTATGTCCTCTTTGGAGAAGTGTCTATTCAGGTCCTCTGCCCATCTTTTAATTGGGTTGTTTGTCTTCTCTTGTTGAGTACTCTTGTACGGTTTGGTGAAAAAGATGAGGACAACAAGTAGAGAAACCGATTGAAGGGGGAGTATTTTTAATTGAGAATAAATGGTATAAAAGATATGAATAGGTTGCAAATAAGAGCATTAAAGGAAAATATTAATCCCATTTGGAAGGTTGAGGCATGCTTTGGTTCCTCGGAGTGTTTTTTAAATACTGGACTTCAGATGATGAGGGGTGCAGTTCCCTGAGATGATTTCAAGAGAGGCTGAGGGAAGATATATATATCTTCCTGGTAAAGGAAACAGAAACCTCAAAGGGCGGAAGGTGGAGAAATGCTGAGGGCCGTTTTCGGAGAACAGTAAATAAATAGTCCAATGTAACTGACTCCTTGGGTTTGTAAAGAAAGTGGTAAGAGAAAAAAGTGAGAGTTGAGCTTGGCAGTGGAGGAACTCAATGCGGGGCTGTGGGGTTTAATTCTATACCTTAAAGTACTGGAAGCTACTAATACTTTTTGATCGGGGTAGTTACACAATAAGAGCAGCTGTGCTGTAGAAAGAGTTCTGAAGCCTGTGGACGATGGCGGGGAAAGAACTCTTGTCCTGAGCAGCCTCTGTAGCTACCCTATCTAGGAAATACTGGAGCAAAATGCTCCCTATTGTGCTGACTTACTGCTGCTGGGGCCGGGGCTGGATTCTTCTTTGTGCTCACTTACACAAAGCTTCTTTACTAACACTCCTCCCAGTAGTAAAAGAGAACTCGGGGCTTTGTTGCTCTTCACTGCATGGAATAATCTGTCCTTGCCCTCTGTAGATACATAAAGGAAAAAGCAGCTGTTTTCTAGGAATACAGATTCATAGAAATGTGGTGGTGAGACTATATTTAAGACAGTCTTCTAGTTTTCAGGTGAAATACTGTCTCACTAAACAAGGTTAATTTTGCCTGCTGCCGTAATATGCAGTAGTCAGCAAATGTTGAAAGTTCTGCAGAATGCAAAGCAGGCAAGGAAGGATTCACACTAATGAAGTCAATTCTGTTATCTAAGCATTTTCCTAGACACTAACCTGTATCTTCATGTTAAAAGCTACTTCTAGTTTAATAGGTTCAGTTACATTTTGAATGTTAAAGAAAACTTACTGGTTTTAAGTTATTACCAGCCTGAGATACACAGGTGATGGCCTTGTGATTTTACTTGTAAAATACAGTATCATTGGTTATATTCTTATCAAGTATGGATTAGCAGTTTGAAATTGTTACGAATAATGGAGTATATTTTAAATAAGTGGATAATTTGGTGGCCAAGTGAAAATTTCCAAGCTACTGCAGGATATGATAACAGACCTCTTTCTTGATTTCTAGTAAACTTGTGTTTGGGCCAGTAATTGACTTAGGATATTTTTGCTTAATTGACTAGTCAAGAAAATACATGTTGTTTGTATTCTCAAGTGCGTATTTTGTACCCTGAGCTAAAGTAATGGGTACTCATAAGTAAGTAATGAAAGTAGCATGTAGGAACTTTTATCTTTAAAAGTACTTTTCTTTCAGGAGGCAAAACCTTCAACTGAGGACTTGGGGGATAAGAAGGAAGGAGAATACATTAAACTCAAAGTCATTGGACAGGTGAGTTTCGTTATTTTTCTTTGTTGACTCTCCTTGAATATGTGAATAATTTCTGACACAGGAAAAATTCTGACTGGCAAGACAACAAGACCTTGGTTCTTGTCGTCTTCTTTTTTAAAAACTATTTTATTGATTTCAGAGAGGAAGGGGGAGAGAGAGAGAGAGAGAGAGAAACATCAATGATGAGAGAGAATCATTGGTCAGCTGCCTCTTGCACCCTCTCCCTCCTGGTGATCGAGCCTGCAACCCGGGCATATGCCCTGATTAGAATCGAACCATGACCTTCTGGTTCATAGGTTGACTCTGAACCACTGCGACATGTGGGCCAGGCTTCTTTTAAAAAAAAAATTTTTTTTTTATTGATTTCAGAGAGAAAGGAAGAAGGAACTGTGACCTCCTGGTTTGTAGATAAACATTCAACCACTGAGCCACATGGGCCAGGTGGTAAAGATGTTTTGTTTATTTTACATTTCTCTGATTATCAATGAGCTGTAATTTTTGGTCTACTATGTTTATATTCTATTGATTACGTGTTCATATTCTCATTTACTGTGATTTCTTATTTTGAAAAATTTTAAAGATATAATTCACGTACCATAAAATCCATTTTAGAGTGTATAGTTCAGTGACTTCAGTTGTCGGGGGAGGTACTTTTTGTTTTGAGTTGCTTTGAGGAGGGGTTTGTAATAATTCAGCTTTTATTTTACATATATAGGATGGACATGCAATTATGAAGGAATGTATTCTTTGATATACATGCTTTTACTTACACTGCTAACTTAAAAACTCAAGACAGATTGTCTTTATGTTTGTTTTGAAATGGGTATAGAGTAATGATTAGAGTGTTTTAATAACACCTGTTATGAATAATAAAAAATACTTTGGTGGGAAAATACAGGTGACAAGGTTTGCTTCTATTTGTGTAATTAAATTATTTGTTTCAAGTAAAGCAAATAATTTACACAAAGAAGGGTAATTTTTTTCTTGTATCTTCTTAGGATAGCAGTGAGATTCACTTCAAAGTGAAAATGACAACACATCTCAAGAAACTCAAAGAATCATACTGTCAAAGACAGGTTTGTATGTTATTGTAGCAAATACAATGCTTTATGTGTCATTCATCTATCTTTATGGCTTACCAGTGTATGTAATAAAGGCAAGTACATTTTGGTGATCACTATGAAATTTCCTTGTTTGTAACCACGAATGTTTAGCCATATGTTAAATTTACTAATAATTATCTTTTTGTTTTGTTTTGTTTTTGTTATCCTCACCTGAGGATATATATATATTTTAAAAGTAGCAGTTATTATTCATTTGTGAGTTTTGTTTTTTAATATATTTTTATTGATTTCAGAGAGGAAGTGATCGGCTGCCTCCTGCAGGCTCCCCACTGGGGGATCGAGCCTGCAACCCGAGCATGTGCCCTTGACCGGAATTGAACCTGGGGCCTTCCAGTCTGTAGTCCAACGCTCTATCCACTGAGCCAAACCAGCTAGGGCTCGAGGATATTTTTTCCATTTATTTTTAGAGAGAGTGGAAGGGAGGGAGAGGGACAGAGAGAGAAACATCTATGTGAGAGAGACACATCTATCAGTTGCCTCCCGCACACACCCTGGCTGGGGCTGGGGATTGAGTCTGCAGCCGAGGTATGTGCCCTTGACCTAAGGCCCTTCCATCCTTGGTCTGCTCTAACCACTGGACACCCGGCTAGGGCAATACTATATTTTAAGTATTAATTTATACATAGTACTACCAATAACTGCTAATTGCATTCTATGCTTTCAGTATTAAGGGGTTTTCTCTTTTAAATAATCATATAGAAGTCTGTTTAATTTAGGAATACCAGATTCTCACAGATTCTGGCCTTTATGAGTTAGATCAATAACAAATTCCTTTAACCTTTCTAGATTCAAATTTGGGCTACATCACTGTTTGACTATGGGACCAAGAATAAGTTATGTGCCTTGTTTTCCCCTTAGAAAAATGGGACTATTACAGTGCCTACCCCATGAAGATGAAATAAGATGACCTACATAAAGCGTTTAACATGATGCCTAAAAATGTTAAGTAAATGTTACCCATTATCATTATTAACAAAATACATTTAAAAAAATAAGTGTACTTGGAATTAATATATAGATGCTCCTTAAAATGGGTTTGTGTTCCAATAAACTCATCATTAGTTGAAAATATCGTAAGTCAAAAATGCATTTAATACACCTAATCTATTGAAAGTCATAGCTTATTATAGCCTATCTTAAACATGTCAACACAGTACACTTAACCCTCATGTTCGCCTTGCTGACTGGGAGCTACAGCTTGTTGCTGCTGCCCAGCATCGTGAGAGTATTGTACTGCATATCACTAGCTTGGGAAAAGATCAAAATTCAAATTTTGAAGTACAGTTGACCCTTGAACAACACAGGGATTATTTTGTATGTTATCTGTATTATATACTGTATTCTTTTTTTTAAACATTTACGTAATCACCTTTATTTATTTATCTATCTATCTATCTATTTATTTATTTATTTTGTGTTTGTTTGTTTTTGTTAATCCTCACCTGAGGATATTTTTCCACTGATTTTTAGAGAGAATGGAAGAGAGAGGGAAAGACAGAGAGAAACATTGATGTGAGAGAAACACATTGATTGGTTGCCTCCTGCAAGAGCCCTGACCAGGGCCCAGGCTGGGGAGCAGCCTGCAACCAAGGTACATGCCCTGAACCTGGGACTCCTCGGTCTGCAGGCTGACGCTCTATCCACTGAGCAAAACTGGCCAGGACTATACTGTATTCTTATAATAAAAGCAAGCTAGAGAAAAAAATCATCATGAAGAAAATCATAAGGAAATATATTTATAATACTGTACACATTTATTGAAAAAGATTCGTGTGTAATTGGACTCGAGAAGCTCAAACCCATTTGTTCAAGGTTGAACTGTACAGCTTCTACTGCACCCATATCATCACTGTTGGACCATCATAAAGTCAAAAAATCGTAAGTTGGGGACCATCTGTATAGAGGAGACACCAAGATACGTTTTAATAATTGATTTGTGTTACATGATACTATTAACTCAGGTATTGTAGGTTTTCTGGAGGGTTTCTTTTTACAGTTTAAGTTAGTAACTTATGTAAAAATCACTTTTGCTAGAAGAAAAAGAGATCAATTAGGTGTTAGGATAAGTAAAACAGTTAACATTTCTGTCTCTTCTGTTTTTGATGTTAATTGTTAAACCCATTAAAATCTTATTAATTGGGGCTCAACTGGTTCACATTTGTAAAAATGGTGATGAGAGCTAAAATTGAGTGTTGACCAGGGAAAAGGAACTTGCATTAACTGTGCTGTGCTAGGTACTAAGAAATAAGAAACATGGTACTTAATCCTCACAACAATTCTGAAGAAAATTATATAGTCTTTTTACCCCATCTATAGACCAGGGTGTTGATTATTGAGGAAAAACAGTGCGAAGTAAAGAAGTAATTTACAAAGCTCAAGTTTATGGAAGGTGCTAGGTTTGGGGAGATAATTAAAATATAACAATAACTTAGAATCATTTTCAACGTTTTTTTTTAATGCTTTTTTATTGATTTCAGAGAAGAAGAGAGGAAGGGAAAGAGAGAGAAACATCAATGATGAGAGAGAATCATTGATTGGCTGCCTCCTGCATGCCTCACATTGGGGATTGAGCCCATAACCTGGGCATGTGCCCTTGACCAGAATCGAACCCAGGACCCTTCAGTCCACAGGCCAACGCTCTGTCGACTGAGCCAAACCGACTAGGGCGTATAGAAACTTTTTTGACCCCAGCACAATATAATGCTTCTTTTTCAAAGAGATCCTATAATTAAAATCAAAGCATATTCCGCCTTTGTCAGTTAAACTTATTTATTTTTTAAAAATATATTTTATTGGTTTTTTTACAGAGAGGAAGGGAGAGGGATAGAGAGTTAGAAACATCGATCAGCCGCCTCCTGCACACCCCCCACTAGGGATGTGCCCGAAACCCAGACACATGCCCCTGACAGGAATTGAACCTGGGACCCTTCAGTCCGCAGGCCGACACTCTATCCACTGAGCCAAACCAGTCAGGGCTAAACTTATTTTTTAAAATATATCCCTGGAAAGAATTTAAAATGAAATGAAGGGTAAGTGTGTGTGGTCTTATATACTTATGGTATAGTACATATTGAAAGATAGTTTTAATTTTTTGATGTTTTTGGGATGGTGTTTAAGCAGTCAACGAAAATCTTAATATTTTAGGTATTGAGCAAGACTTTCATAATACTTGTGGACTAAATAAATGATTCTTGATTTGTATTTATTAGTTATTTCTCTTTAAGTTAGCATTTCTCTCCTTACAGCTATTTTGTTGAACAAATGATTAGAAAAATATATTTTAATATTTTTTGTGATATTTATAGTGCTCTGTATGCCATCACAGGTTTATTGTAGCTTATCTGGATAGCTACTGTGCTTTACCAAATTTCTATGATTTAATCTTTTAAAACCATTTTTGCTTGTGTAGCTGGAAGCTAGTAAGGGTGCTCATCCAATTTTTGATTTTATCTTTCACTAGGGGCCTGGTGCACGAAATTCGTGCGCGGCGGGGTGTGTGTGTGTGTGTGTGTCCCCGTGTCCCCGTGTCCCCGTGTCCCTCAGCTCAGCCTGCGTCCTCTCGCAATCTGGAACCCCTTGGGTAGGGTCCCTGGGCCTGGCTGGTGATCAGGGCCTCTTGGGGCTTTCCTTCCCCCAGCAGCCAGTAGCTGGCCCCGCCTCCGCCACTGCCACTGCTTGCCATCTGTGTGGCGTTGTCCCCCCTCCACCGGTTGCCTCCCTCTGCGGGCAACAGGTGTGGGGTGTGATCGCTTGGCTGGCCTGGGCCTCCTTCTGCGTGGCAATCGATCGCGGAGCCCCCCACATCAATCGCCCTGCAGAGGGTGGCCTGGGCCTCCCTCTGTGGGGCGATCATGGGGCGATGGTGGGGCCCCCCGACCAATCGCATTGCACCCGCCTTGGCTGGCCTGCCTGGTGCCAGTGCATGTCATAGCGTGGCCGTCCTGAAGGTCTGGACGGTTCTGCTCTTTGGTCGTTTGGTCAGTTTGCATATACGCTTTTATTATGATAGATATAGATAGATGTTAGCTTACAGATTTCAGAGGAAACTATAAAATAGTTGTCAAGAGCAGAGGCTTAGAATAGATTTAGCCTTAAATTTTGGCTAGCTATTGTACCCTGTCTATTCCTTTGATTCCCTAGCTGTATAATGAAGAAAGGTGACAAACATTTATGATTATGTATGTCAAGTACTTGGAACAGGGAGGACCTAGCAAATGGCACTCAATAAATTGTGATTATGATAGGATTAGCTGTCTAGTTTTATGTTCTGTGTGTTCTGTTGAAGTTTTTATGTTAGCTTTTTGTGCATCAAAGTTCTTATTTCCTCTAAGATTTGTATGTATACATATTTATATATATGTATTTTTGCCTTTTTAGGGAGTTCCAATGAATTCACTCAGGTTTCTCTTTGAAGGTCAGAGAATTGCTGATAATCACACTCCAAAAGAAGTGAGTAAAATGTCTTCTTTGAGTTAAGAAAAATTTTAAATTCTGCATTGAATGATTTGGTTCACTGGTATTAAACTGCCCACTTCTTTTTTTGTTGTTGTTATTAAACTGCCCACTTCTTGAATATTCTTTGATTTAAGTGGTATATCATTTGTCAGAGAGAAAAAGAATCTTTTGAATTGAACTTCCCATATATTGCCTTCAAAAGTGCCAATAAAAAGAAAGGTTGAAAGTAAAATGGGTACTGAGGCTGTCAGAAGACACATGCTATGTCTTTTTGAAGATGGACAGATGTTCCTCAAATTTGGCAGATTTCTCATACACTTTCATGGTGATGGTGACCTTTATGGTTTGATTTTGACTTTCTTTAAAAAAGTTTTTTTTTATTACTGAATTTTAGAGGCAAAGCGGGAGAGGGAGAGAGAAACATCAGTGTGAGAGGGAAGCATCGATTGGCTGCCTCTTGCAACCCCCTACCGGGGATCCAGTCTGCACCCAGGCATGTACCCTGACTGGGAATGGAACTGGCAACCATTTGGTGCAGTTGCCTGGCCAGGGCTCGATTTTGACTATTGACCCATTTTGAGAACTTGATACAGAAGCTTAGTATATATTAATATATTTGGCTATGTCACCTTGATTTATGTTTTTAAGTGCGTCTGTGTCTTTGTTTTATCGTATAATCTGGTTTGTTTTGTTTATATATTCCTTCAGTTTGGATTTGTCTGACATTTCCTCATTATTAGATTCAGTTTTGTATTTTTGGTACGCGTGGCACAGAGTGAAGCTGTGTACTTGAGAGTACATCACACCAGGAAGTACATGATGACCATTTGTCTTGTTGTGGGTAATACTAACTTTGGTAACTTAAGGTGGTAACTGCTAGATTTATTCATTGTAAAGTTACCATTTTTCTTTTTAATTAGTAATTTGTGGGGAAATACTTTAAAACTGAATATTCTTCTTGGGTTATTGGCCAGCGAGGGCCCCTTCAGGTTGGTGTCTGTGTTCTTTTTAACATGTCTCCATCTTTTTAAAAGTTTTTTTTTAAAAACATATTTTTATTGAATTCAGAGAGGAAGGGAAAGGGAGAGAGAGAGAGAAATATCAATGATGAGAGAAAATCATTGATCGGCTGCCTCCTGCGCACCTCCTACAGGGGATTGAGTCCGCAACACAGGTATGTGCCCTTGACCGTAATCAAACCCAGGACCTTTCAGTCCACAGGCTGACGCTCTATCTACTGAGCCACACCGGCTAGGGCTTTTTAAAAGTCTTTATTTTGAAATAATTTTCAACTTACAGAAAAGTTGCAAGAGTAGTACAAAAAAATTTTACATTCTCCCACCTAGATTCACCTGTTTTAATATCGTTCCACCTTTGCTTATTATTACTTCCCTCCCCTCCCCCCCTCCCATCTATAAGTGTATATTTATATCCCTTGAACCACTTGGGAGTAGGTTGCATGTGCCATGGCCATTTACTACTTAATATTTTATTTATTTATTTGTTTATATTTTACTACTTAATATTTTAGTGTGTATTTCTTAAGAACAAGTATATTTTATGTAACCACAGTACTGTTAATCAAATTTAGGACACTTAATACTATTAGAATACTTTAAGCTACAAACTAATTTTGTCATTTGTCCCAATTATGTCTTTTATAATAAATTTTCTCCTGTCCAGTTCCATGTCAACATATTTTACTCAAGTGCCTTTTTAGTCATCTTTAATTTAGAACATTTCCTCAGCTATTCTTTGTCTTCCATTACATTTATAATTTTAAGGAATACAAATCAGTTGTTTTCCAGAAAGTCCTGGATTCGGGTTATGCATTTTTGAATATATTTTATTGATTTTTTACAGAGAGGAAGAGAGAGGGAGAGAGAATTAGAAACATCAGTGAGAGAGAAACATTGATCAGCTGCCTCCTGCACACTCCCCACCAGGGATGTGTCCGAAACCAAGGTACATGCCCTTGACCGGAATCGAACCTGGGACCCTTGAGTCCGTAGGCCGACACTCTATCCACTGAGCCAAACCGGTTAGGGCGGGTTATGCATTTTTGGATGCAATACTACATAATTGATGATGTGTCTTTCTCAGGGTATAGTATCTGGAGCACATGAAGCCCTTTATGGGTGGTGGTAATTTTGTAAAAAAAAAAAAAAAAAATGTTTTTATTCATTTTAGAGAGAGGGGAAGGGAGAGTGATAGATAGAAACATTGATGAGAGAGAAACTTCAATCAGCTGCTTCCTGTACACCCCCTACTGGGGGTCGAGCTGCAACCTGGGCATGTGCCCTGACTGGGAATTGAACTGTGACCTCCTGGTTCATAGGTGATACTCAACTACTGAGCCACACTGGCCCAGCAAATTATTATTATTTTGTAATCCTCACCAGAGGAGATGTTTAGAGAGAGAAAGGGAGAGAGAGAGAGAGAGAGAAACATCAATGTGAGAGAGAAACATCAATCGATTGCCTTTTGTACATGCCCTGACCTGGAATTGAACTTGCAGTCTTGGTATGTATCCTGACCGGAAATAGAACCAGCAACTTTTTGGTGTATAGGATGATGCTCAACCAACTGAGCCTCTCAGGCAGGCTTATTTAAACTATTAAATACATGTTCCATTAGATTTTAAACTCCTTTAAGGTCCTGTTCAATAAACACTTAAGTTTTATATGGTCAATAAGCTGGGAAATGAAATTGATTAAGCAAAATAATAAATGACTTTATTGACACATCTCTGTGTCCTTAGATTAAAGGAACCAAGACTCTTAGTCTTAGAACAGTGTAACTTGGATCGCCTCTGTATCCTTTTTTCTTTAAAACTGTGGCCACATAATTGCAGCCAATTAAAAAAACAGTGCTTTTATATTCTAAAATATTGTTCTTTTCTCTTACAGCTGGGAATGGAGGAAGAAGATGTGATTGAAGTTTATCAGGAACAAACGGGGGGTCATTCAACAGTTTAGATATTCTTTTTATTTTCTTTTCTTTTCCCTCAATCCTTTTTTATTTTTAAAAATAGTTCTTTTGTAATGTGGTGTTAAAATGGAATTGAAAACTGATGCCCCCCATCTCTTTAAAACGTCTAGTAATTTGAATTCTAGTGCCCATTATTCATTATTGTTTGTTTTCATTGTGCTGATTTTTGGTGATCAAACGTCAGCCTCCTTCATATTGCCCTCTCCTTTTGAAATATGATGTGTGTGCACAGGGAGGCCACCTTTTTCAGGACTGTGCATTTTCAGGCTTGTGATAAATAAGGTCGACCAATGCAAGTGTTCATATTGACTTCTAATTGGCCCTGAAGTTCTAGCGTGTGATTGCTTCACTCCTGGACTATGACTTTCAGTGGGAAGTGGAAGTTTTTCAGAGAACTGAACTGTGGAAAAATGACCTTTTCTCAGCTTGAAGCTACTTCTAAAATCTGAAGGTCTGGACCAAAAGAAGAAGAATATCAGGTTGGAGTCAAGATGACAGATGAGGTGAGAGTAAAGACTAACTCCAAAGATGGCTTCACTGAAGAGAAAGCATTTTAAGAGTAAAGAAAAATCTTGTCAGAAGATCCCAGAAAAGTTTTAATTTTCATTAGCAGTTAATAAAGTTATTCATGCAGAAGTGTGTGCAACAGAACACTGCTCTTTTTGATTTTATTTGTACTTTTTGGCCTGGGATTTGGGTTTTAAATGGACATTGTCTGTACCAGCTTCATTAAAATAAAATGTTTGTAAAAATCTTATTACTGTTCCATTTTATTTTTAATTGTATAGAAAGAAAAAAAATGGCCGAAACAAGATTTTCTTGCATAATACTGGAAATTATTGTTTGTATATGGAACAAATAAATTTTTCTTCAGTGATGATTGTGACTTTGAAGCACTGAAAGTTACTGAAGTGCCTTCTGAATTAAGGATTTAATTAAGGCCACAATACCTTCTTAAATGCTCAGTGTTCTGTGTGTGTTTTTAAAACTTGATATTTCTGTATGGTGCATATATATGACACTTACCCAGTCATGTTGAATAAATGGGCACGTCAAAAATTCTTAATTGATTTATATTGATAATTTCAGTTTTTCCTCTAACCAAATGTTCTCTGCTTAAGGTTTGGTATATTTTGTTTATTTTTCTTTCATTTCTTTATATCTTATATATTTAAACTTAAAATACCAAATTAGTTTCTATTAGAGGGCTTAACCTTTTAAGTTTTATTTATTTTTATTGATTTTTTTAGAGAGAGGGGAGACAGCGATTTGCTGCCTCCTGCACACCCCTTACTGGGGATCAATCCTGTGCCCTGACCAGGAATTGAGCCATGACCTCTTGGTTCCTAGGTTGATGCTCAACCACTGAGCACACCAGCTGGCTAACCTCTTAACTGTTTAATAAATCACAGAATTTAGTATATCTGTGCAAACACGTAATCCAGTTTCATGTTATCCCAAATAGAATGCCATCTGAACATTTGAGAAGAGCAAATAAAACCTATCTCTAATGCATTTTATAAATTGTTATAAATTCCCTAACCAGGTCACCTGTTGAAAAATAATTGGCTTGCCTTATAAACCTATATCTAGCCCTACCTGAAAAATGATTTGTATTATACATGTATAGTCTAGGTAAATTAGAGCTTTTAGACCATCACCTGGCATTTATTACATTACTATATATTCAACAGTGATTAGAAATTAGGCCCATTTGTAGAAAATATTCACTGAGTTGCATATTTGTATCAGGCCCGAGTAACAAACCTGGTAGGCTATTTGAGCTATCCAGAATACATGAATATGTAGTTTGGTATCTTATTTTTGTTTGCATCTGTGAAGGATCTCAGCACTTAGGTAGTAGAGCTTAGCTACTGGGAAATAACTATTTTGTTTGCAGTTAATTGGATTCTTCTAAAGGCAATGCATTCTGCTATGGTTAAAATGTGCTTATCTGGTGTAGTAGTGTTGATAAAATAGGCCTTTCACAGCAATAATTTAATAGCATATCAGATTTGGACGGGAGCTTGAAGAACATTTAGTGTAGCCACTTTACATAGTGCTTGACTGCAACATCCTAAATTTGTAAAAGAAGGAAGAAAATAAAGTCAGTAATGGTAATTTCCATGACAGGGATGTTTTCCTTGAGTGTTCTGTTCTTGGTTAAATTACTTGAGATACTCCTTTTTCATCTGATAAAGTATTAATGAATGAATGAATGAATGAATGAGTAAATATGTAAGTAGGGTCAACAAAGTTAAGAAGTGCATGACATTTAAATTCGCTATGACTAATAGCCAATGTTTGGGTCATTTTATTGCTATTTTACATAAAACATAGTTAAAAATAAGCATCAAGTCTAATAAGTTCAACAACACAGCAATACAGAATCAAAATTATGTTTGACTTCTGGATTGTAGAAGTGCAGTTCCTGTAGGAAGCAAGTACCTTACAGGCATTAGTGGGAAATTTGAGGGAATCCCCTGCAAATACTAAGTTTTCAGCTGTGGACATGAAGTATAGCATAGGGCAAAGGAAATTTGTGGGAAAGTTCAGGTTCAGATAATGCTTGCTTTGGTATCCTTTTGTAGATATTTGCTGAGGCTCTTTCCTCCTCTTTAATAATCATTCCATGATCAATCCTAGATACTGATAGTGTGATTTTTAAAAAAATGGGACAATTACGTGTGTGGTTTATTCTTCAAATCACAGGTGGGAGCAAACCTTAAAATTTGTTAATTTTCAGGGTTCTAAAACAGTGCTGTCCAATAGAATTTTCTGTGATGATGAAAATGTTGTATATTTGTGCTGTTCAGTATGGTAGCTAGTAAGCCACACGTGGTTTTTGAGCACTTGAGTTGTGGCTAGTGTGACTGGAGAATTGAGTGTTTTAACTTATATTTAAATAGCGACATGGTTTATTGGACAGTGCAGTTCTAGAATCTATACTTTGAGGGTGTGAGATTACTCTCACAAAGCAGCTCATATTGCTCAAATGAACATTTATCAATTGATTACGTTGTTTTAAATAGACATTTGATTTTTAGGATGAGGTGGATGTGGTTTTGCTTTATAAAGACAATATAATAAAATTCTTAATATATGAATGAGCTGCTCTTAGCTAAATCAGAATCTGCATTACAGAATTTCCATTTACTTGCAACTTTTTCACACATTAATGAAAATGAAGTATTTGGACTAGCCTAAGATTATGTTAGTGCCTTACTGAAATTTCCTGAAATGCAAACAAATTATGAAATTTTGGGTCAATTTTAGGCACCAAAGCTTCTGAATTGAATTCATGTGATGTTAGAGAGGGTAAAGGATTTAGATGAGTGAAGAGTTTAACTGGGTTGAGTAAGGTATTCGTGGCAGGGAGGATTGTTGGGAATGGGAGGAAGTTAGGTGTGGGTTGAGGTGAACAAGACGAGATGGAACTAACTGGGTTCAATATGGAACATCATTAGAGAAGGAAGTTTCTCTTTTTCTTTTACCACCTCCCAACTTACTTTTTAGTTTTCTTCTAGCCTTAAGGTCTGGGTATTTGTAGGAACTGGAAGTAAGAGTAGACCCATGGTCTGGAAATGTTGTGTGCCCACTGCAGGCCATTGGCTTCCTTGTGGAGTTCTTGATAGAAATGAAGATGTTTCCTCAAAGCAGACTTTTGCCTAAGGAGACAACCCCACCCAAAATCCCAATACTGATTAAACATCCTGGAAATGGTCCTTAGAAGCTAGTAGAAGAACTTTGGATTTTAGTGATCAATTAGACTTGGGACTACTGATCTTGCATTTTAGTGTGCATCTTGCATCATACTCTGTTCATTTAGTTACATATGAGGTTTTTAGTATCATGAGCTTCCTGCTGGGAAAGTAAAAGGAAAGGCATAATTCTCAGTTCTTAAACTTGTATTGTGGGAGGGACTGCCTTATTTTAGAGAGAAAAACAGGCCAGAGAAATTAAAGTACCTGAGCCAGTATCACAGTGAAGAGGAAATATAGGCAATTGGCATTAAATTCTAACCCTGGAGTGAAGCTCTACTCACACATCCCTTTACTGCTCGGTTTTCTGTTTTCAGCTGTTTGCATGAAGCCTTACAAAACTGCTCAACTGCCCCTCAGATGACCTGTCAGTTTTCTTTTTGTGAAAAATTGGAACTCCAATAGCTTGCTTTTGGTCTCAATACTTACAAATCCAGCCCTACTGCTATGGCATGTGGAATATATAATTTTGAAATTGAATCAAGATTTCACCAAAGATCCATTTTGTACTTCACACAACAGATGAGGCAAGTCCAAGAGAGGAACAACTCAAGGTTAGGTGGGAAACCTTGAAATAGAATACTGGCTGCCTTCTCTCTCTGGTCCCCTAAAGAGCATTAGCTTAGATGCAGCTTAGAGAGTCGATTAAAACCATATTACCCAAGAGATCCTATTATCAGAAAGATGCACTGAGCATTGCTATTGTATGAGAGTAAAGGGGGGAATGCCGCTGGCCCCTGATGACTGGCTCTGTGCCTTTTCTCCTGACGAGGCCCTTGTGAGATCTGGTTTGAGTCTCTCTCGCCAACCTCCTCTGGAGGTATTCTTTGTGCCTTGTTCACTTCCAGCCACGCTGACTTTCTTTGATGCTTCTAACATGCCAATCTCATTCCTTTCTTTGGCTCTTTGCACTTCCGGTTTACCTGCTGAAATATTTTTCTCCTAGATGATTATGTGGCTAAGCCCATGTCATTCAGATTTCACCTGATATATCTGAGAGGTCTTGCCCTGGCCAACCAATCTAAACTAAGGCTCCTGCAATCCTATCAGAGGTTTAAATTTTTTTCTGTATAGCATTTATTGCCAGCTAAATTATAAATAGATTTAGGGTATGTTGCCAACCCGCCGCCCCCTCCCCTAGCAGGTAAACGGCATGGTAGAAGAGAGCTCTTCCTAACTCCTGAATTCCCAGTATCCAAAGCAGTGTCTCTGTTCCTAATAAATACTTCTTGAGAAAGGCAGGTGGTTCAGACTTAGAGGGGGGAGTGTTTTCGATCTGGTCCTGGTACTGCCCCTAACTCACCCTCTGGCCCTGATCAAGATCCTTCCTGCCTTTGGGCCTTGTTTTTCTCATCTGTAAACCAGAGGCTGGGATCATCTCTGAACTCCCAGCTTCAATACAAGTTCTGTAAGCCCTGAAGAAATTCTGTGACATGGTAGCGAAAGACTCTGTATTCTAGTTCTTTAAAACTGCTCAGGAGGGTGGGAAAACTTCACTTGCCCGAGGGCGGTGCAAGCACCAGCACCGGGCAGTGAAGCCCTTGAACAATCCCCGGATATAACTGTTGCCCACGCACCCAGTACCTGGCTCGTTCGTGGGTTTGTTTCATGGCTTTCTCCAGAGCCAGCCTTGCTGCTTCCTCTTCCTTTTGCCTCCTCTCCTCTGCTGCCAGCCGAGCCTTCTCCTCTGCCTCCTGCTTCTGCCGTTGGTACTCTAGCCGCTCTTCTTCAGCCATTTCCACCAGGCGCCTGTGTTCCTCGGCCAGCTTCATTTCCAGTTCCTGCTGCCTTTGCTTCTCTGCCTCTGCCGAATAGAAAAGGGGCTGGTCTCAGCAGGGGTCTCTCTTGGAGAACACAGTTCTCGGACCCACCTCCAGCCTGTGGTTCCCCGGGATTCCCCAGGAGAAGTGCGGCAGCTTACCCTCCAGCAGCCTGCCAGGTCCTCTGGGGCTTCCCTGGGGGTGAACTGACTGAGAGTACTTAATCAAGCACCTACTATGTGCAGTACACTGTGCAAAGCCTTGGGGGAGAATTTTCCAGAGCCTAGTGGTCTCCTGAGGTGGTATGCAGATGGGTTGAGGAGAGGGGATCGGGTCAGGGTTTGGAGAAACTTGGTGCTTACTCAGCTGGACTGTCCAGTCCAAAGAGTGCCAGACACAGAAGTTTCTTTCTCTTCTCAAAAGTGAGGCTGTAGAGATTGCCCACATCAGCACCTGAAAGGCTGCCCTGAAGCTACCCAGAGGTTTGAGTGTTTCCATCTGCTGGGGAAGGAAGCTGGGAGCAGGGCTCTGTCTCTAATTCAGGCAGCTCTGAGCAGCATGCAAAAGGCAATGGGAAGGGCCGGGTCTCTGTTCAGGGGATTCCTGAGTTCAGAGCAGGAGCCAAGAGTCGTTTCCACAAGTGAGTTTAAAAAAAAAAAAATCTATCTCAACTCACTATAGTCACACATTTCAGTTATCTTGGAAAGAAAATAGCTCATACATTTACAGTGCTTCACACACTAAGCCAGGATAGGCACAGCTCCTGGGAGGTGCAAATGAACACCTAAAGTGGGAGAAAGATGCTTCTGCCCAGATGGACAGGAGGGGCAGAGCGCTCCAGAACCCCCTCACCAGCTCGTGCGGCTTCCTCCTGCTGCTTCTTCCTCTGCAGCGCTTGCAGCCTCCTCTGGAACTCCTCCTGCTGCTGCCGGGCCCTCTCCTGGGCCGCCTGCAGCTGGAGCCACTGCTCTCTCTCCTCCTCCTCCTGCCTCTGCCGCTCCTCCTCCTGCCTCTGCCGCTCCTCCTCTTGTTTCTGTTTCCTCAAGCTGAGAAAACACAAGATGATCAGGGAAATGGCAGGAAAAACGGGCATCCTCGTAGGCCAGTGATGGCGAACCTATGACACCTCTGACACGCGAACTCATTTTTTTGGTTGATTTTTCTTTGTTAAATGGCATTTAAATATAAATATCAAAAAATATAAGTCTTTGTTAGACAGTGATGGTGAACCTATGACACGCGTGTCAGAGGTGACACGCGAACTCATTTTTTTGGTTGATTTTTCTTTGTTAAATGGCATTTAAATATATAAAATAAATTCAAAAAATATAAGTCTTTGTTTTACTATGGTTGCAAATATCAAAAGATTTCTATATGTGACACGGCACCAGAGTTAAGTTAGGGTTTTTCAAAATGCTGACACGCCGCGCTCAAAAGGTTCGCCATCACTGTCGTAGGCTTTGCAGGCCACGTGGAACATCCTCCTCAGAGGAGACTTGGTTTTCCCCAGGGGAAGCGAAGGCTAGAACACCTGGAATGGGCCTGAAACTAGAAGCCCGGCTGTTTCAGCACAGCTCTGTGCTCTGGGGTGAGGGCCTTAAGTTCCCAGAACTTCCTTTCCCACTTTCATAACACGGATTTTAAAACTCCCATCTCACAGGGTTGCTATGAAGATTGAATGAAGTGAGTCAAGGCCCATGAACAGGTCTAGTGTAAAGCAGACAATGTGGGCAGAGCTCAACAAATGTTTTCTTGACTGATTCCCAGAGCCCTGCCTAGAAGGCCCCGTGGACCTGCAGTAACTCCTAATGACCAACACACTGGATATTTTCTTTGGTCCAGGTTATTCCTAGTCTAGCTGAGGATAGAGCAAAATGAGACACGCTGCTTTACTTCGGGGCATGAGCTGCAGAACCAACTTCAACCCTTAACATGGCCTTTTCCTTCTGCTTCCTAACATGGCCGTGGCCTCGGGCTGCGGCTGGACCCACCGGATCTCCTCTGCGCGGTGGCGCTGCTCCAGCTCCAGCTCCTCCTCCATCTTCTCTGCCCTCTCCAGCTGCTCCTGCTGAAGCCGTCTCTGCTCCTCCTGCTCCCTTCTCTTCCTCTCCACCTCCAGCAGTCTCATCTCGGCCCTTTCTGCTCGCTGCCTGTCCCAGAGAGCTTTCTCCTGCTCCCTCTTGGCCAGGAGATCCTAAGGAACCAGAGAGTTCTTAATGCGAAGGACTACGGGGAGCTTGTTTCAGCAGCGAGCCCCCCTCCGCCCCAGATGATGTCGTCTCCATTCTGAGATGGAATCATTAAGTTGTGTCCACACTCTGACCTCAGCCACATTAACTGCTGCCACCAGCGTGGGCTCTGGGATCGGACTGACCTGGGTGCAAGTCTCCCTCTTGCTTGCTTCAAGATTTGGAGACCACAGCTTCATTTCTCCAATATCATCTCTCTCTTGGGGCCATGACTGGGATTAACTGGATAGTGAAAGTGTCAACATAATGTTTGGCACAGAATGTTTGTATGTCTAGCCTTCTCACCCCCAGCTGCATGATAGAATCACCTGAGGAGCTTTGAAAAATTACCTGAGACCAAGGCCCCACCCATTTCAATGAAATGATCATATTTAGGGTTTTAAAAAGCGTCTCTGATGAAGCCAGGGCTGAGTACCCCAGGTTCTAGATAAAGGCTATTCATCAGGGACAGTCTTAGGTATAGATGGGTCAGACTCACATTTCATTCCAGACAAACCCACTTTTTCCATGAAAGGTTCTTTTTTCTCCCTGCTGCCTCTTTGTCAGTCAGAAATATGCCCATGAGGGGAAGCTCGAAAGGCAACTCTTCCATGTGTATCCAACTTGGGGTGAAACTTCCTCGCTTTTTAGCCTTTGCAGAGGCAGCATGGAGCTACCGGTTGACAAAAAAATCTAAGAAATTCTGATAATCCAGCAGGCCCAGAAAAGTTCTGCACACAGTTTGAAATTTCCATCTGCTGTGTAGAGCAGAATTCTGTAACCTAGGCAGCTGGGAGGACTAAGACCTATAAAGCAAACATCTTTCTGAAATCCTTTTTGGAAGACCATGGGCTATAAAATAAATACATAATAATTTAAAATAGTGACAAGAGTTCTGATTTTGGAGTCAAAGGACCTGGGTTTAAGCCTTGGCTCTACCACTCAATGGTTGTATAATCCTGGCAACAGACTTTTAGCTCCTTCAAGCCTCAGTTTCTAGGTCTGTAAAGTGGAACTAATCATACCTAAAAGTGTGGCTGTAAAGATCAAATGAGATTCAGCAGAGTTGTACCATATGCATGTAACGTAGGCAAGTTTAACCACTGGGTGTTTTTGTAGAGTTTAAAGATACTTTTTTTGGGGTACAATATTTTTAAATGCAGTTCAGCACTTTCACCTCAGTGGAAGAAATAGCTGAGGAAAAATTGGCTGTTTTGGTCTTACTGAGAGATGTACCTGGAAGGTACTACTTTTGGTTAATTGCAGGGATTTTCAAGGGTAATTTTCCTTATACTCACTTAGTTTTTCTCTTAAATACTTGACATTGGAATCAAGGCCCCTGGAACAAAGTGGCTCTTACATGCAAAAGCACCCTGTAAAGGCAGGTGTGTGGAAGCCGCCTGTGGGCCAGCTGTGGGCCACTGAAAAGCAGACTAGAAAGGAGGTATCTCTATCGCCTTTGGAGGCAAGCAAGGCGTGAGCTTCAGGCCAAGTCAAGAATATATGCTGAGCTCTGATGGCCTGAACCCACCTTTCCTTGTAACTGTGAAGCCTGTACCCCTTACAGATGGCTCCTGTGCCAACTTCCTGCTCTTTAAGGGGTGGGGTACATGCCCTGGAAGTTGGGGGACCTCAGAATGCATCATTGCAGAGGGCCTTTGCCACCCTATGACTTTGACCAGGTCTGGCTTCTTCAGAAAATCAGTAGGCACCAAAGCCTAATAAGTAAACCATTCTGCAGTCGAGCCGTTTTCTGTAACGGCAGTAGAATGTGGGCAGTTTCCCTACCTCTCCGTTGCACCAGTGAGGACAGAAGTCCCTCTGGCCAGAGCAACATTGGGTCCTACCTTTGGAGGATCCCCGTGGCTTCTGTCTTCTTCTGATTCCGTGTTTCCTGTGACAGTCACAATCGGGGTGGGCGGTGATCTTCCATCTATTGAAACCTGGCTCTCCTGAGCATCAGCTCTGGGAGAAAGCCACGGCTCCTCTCCATCAAAGCCCGAAGGAAGGAAACCTCTGTCTGGGGTGCCTTCTTCTGTTCCCTGGGTGTCGAAGACATCAGGCCCCCTCAGCTCCGCTGCTGTTTCCCGCCTCCTTTCCTTCTGTGTCCTTTTCCTTTTGACGCCTGATTGTTTTCCTTTGGGAATTAGCTCTGGTTTCTTTTTAGCCTTTGAGTCCTTTGACTTTCCTGGGTGAGAAGAGTCAGGGACAGAGATGTGGCTAAGTAAACGTGATCTCTATGCATCCTTTTCAGTAACTTAAAACAAATTTTATACACACACACACTGATTATTATGACCACCTGACGTTTGTAGGCAAATAAGCTATAATTTTGCGCTGGAGTTGCTAGAGGGTCAGATCATTACAAAAGTCTGAATAGCACAACATACCTAAGTATTGTTGCTGATCAAGTTCATCCCATCATTTTGATGGCATATCCCAATGTAAATGGCTTCTTCCAACAAGACAATGCGCCATGCCACGGTGCTCGTATTATGCAGGAGTGGTTTCAAGAACATGAGGGAGACTTTACCTTGCTTAGGTGGCCCCCACAATCACCAGATCTCAATCCAATTGAGCATTTGTGGGACGCAGTTAAAAGAGCCATCAGGCAGCTGGTTCCACAACCATCAAATCTCACAGAACTGGACAGTGCTATTCATCAGGCATGGTGTCAGATTCCTCACATCTCCTTTCAACATCTCGTGGAGTCAATGCCAAGAAGAATCGCCACAGTATTGAAGGCAAAAGGTGGCCCAACGAAGTACTGATGGGGTGGTCATAATAATCTGGCC